ATACATCCCTTTCTGTAGAAGAATCTTCAAGTTCCTACCTGAGAAGCATCTTTGGGCCCTCCAGGGGATGTGTATTGCTCCTCTAGCCTGTGGCCCAGCAAGGGGCAGAGCATAGACCCTGTAGCCAGGTTTGCCCAGGTTCAGGTCTCAGCTGGATCACCCTATGGCCTCTCAGGCAAGTTCTCTATACCTCTCTGGCCTCACTTTAACTCATCGGCAGAATGGGCATGCAACCACCATGCCAGCCACAGACGTAACAGCTTCAAGGATTCATGAGTTGGTACACGAGTTACCATGAGTTAGTACAGAGTAAGCATGCAGATGTGGTGAGGTGGTGACATGCAGAGCTACCCTGGGTCAGTGAAAGCTAGTATTCGCACACAATGTAAAATTTATCAGAACTGTCAGTTGAGACTTGCAGTAGCACAAATGCAAAGTGTGTGGTCAGATTCCCCAATGGTGGGTCTTTTAGGGGCTTTATCTGTGAACGGCAATTTCTCGCCTGCTGAGTCAAGAAATGGGGCTCTGAGGACCCTGTTCTAGTTTTCCCACCACAGGTCTCTGGCATCCTTTGGAGGACTAGAGGAGGTGTTCCAGGGCAGATGAGCATGGGGAACTGTGTTTAGATCAGCCCTAGAGATTGTGTCCTGGGCCTGCTACTGTGTGGCTCTGGGCAAGAGGCACCACTTCTGAGACCCTGACAATCCCCACGTCAGACTTGGCTCTATGTGGTGGGGTTGTTATGACGATTAAGTGAAAAGGCACACGTGAGGTGCTTGGCTCACAGCTGAGAACTCAGTAATTGCCCCATAAATAAGGGCTATTATGGTTATGGAGTTTCCTGCAAGGCACCAGGGCTTCCCTCTCCAATCCTCCATCCATCTGCCTCCTAATCTTTCCGCAGTCTTCCTGGAGGTGTTATGAGAGCTACGTGGGATCCTGTGGGTAAAGCTGCCAGCACCTGGCCTGACCTCCGGTGCAGGCTCGGGAGATGCGGGCTCGCTTACCCGCTGCCATAAAGCCACTTCACCCCTGCAGGCTCTTTGCTCCTCAGAGTCTGTGCATGCCTCTGAGCCCAGCCCAGACCCATGTGCGGCTCTTAAGGTGTGTGTGCACAGATCTGAAACTGCCCCAAGCTGGTGCGGACAGCTGAGTTACATTCTGCTGCAAGCATATAGGCACTTTCACAATAACTACAAGGACGAAATCTGTTTGGTATTCAAGATGTCAGAGCAGGATTTTGCCCTCCACACGAGAGACCATCTTGTTCCTGGAAAGGGCCGTGTGCCTCCTTGGCAATCCAGCCACCACCTATCCCTCATTCCTCTCAGGTCCTTCTAGATCTCCTAATAACCCAAGCCCTTCTGTTAGTAGGGAACCTTCCATATCTTCCTTGGCCGGCTATACACTTGACATTTGTTATCTCACTGATGAGAGTTGATGAGTTATAACTGATGAGTTATCTCACCGTTGAGGCGAGAGAGTATTGCTCTATCTAAATTCCCACTTTCAGAGAAATAAAAATGTAAAAGTTAAGTGGAAAAAGAAAAAAAAAACTAGTTGCAGCTGGAAAGTGGCTATAATGCAGTGGGGTGAGGCCAAGCCTCTGGTTTTCTGGCCACCAGGCTATATTGTTGATATTTGGTTCTGCCTGGCATCAGAATCAGGGGTGAGCCTCCAGAACTAGCTCTCCCTTCAGCATTTATTCGTTCCAAGTTACAGCTCTGCCAAATACAATATTTTCATTTTCCTTAACACACACACACACACACACACACACACACACACACACACACACACCCCCCTAGCACTTACTCTGCTTGCCTGCCTGCCTTCCTTTTATTCATTTGTTTTGTTTGTTTGTTTTATGAACTATACCTGGCAACGTTCAGGGGTTACTCTTGGCTCCGCACTCAAAGATCATTCCTGATGGGCTCGGGGGGAAGGGGGACACATGGGATGCCAGGGATTGGATCCGAGTCAGTTGCAGGCAAGGCAAAAGCCTCCCTGCTGTACTATTTCTCCGGCTCCGCACTTTGCTCTTCTTGAAAGAGGAAGGCAATAGAGCAACCCCTGCACAAATTCACCAACCCAATACTTCTTTTTCTGTAAAAGTTAAGAAATTCTAGCATGTAGCCTTCTCCATAAATGAGAAAAACTCCGGAAAACCCACGTCTACTGCCCGCTCTTAATCTAGTTTGCCTCTGCCAAGCTCTTGGCTAGAATGGGTTTGCGATGCTTCTGTGCTAATTAACACAGGATGGAACCAAGTGCGTAGCAAACTGAGCAGCAGTTCGGTGCTCTGGCCTCCTTTTGCAGACCTGTGCACGGAGTCACCCCCTTGTATGGCCTCAGCCAGAATCCCTGCCGAGAGCTGGTCCAACTGGCATGAGGCTGGTGAGAGCCGTGCTTCCCTGGCAGAATGAAAACGTCTCTGAACTGTGCTTGCAGGGAAAGTGGCAACCTTAGCTTCCCATCGCCCTCCCCGTGGCAGGCAGGATTCTGCAGGAGAGGCGGCACCCCTCCTCCATGTGGATTGCTGGATCTGCCTGCAGCCTTCTGGGGCGAGGGGTGGGCGGAAAATAAAGGCTGGGAACGGAGTAATAAGCACCCCTGCAGACAGCCTTTTTGAACGGTTGATTCACTGTCAGAAATTCTGTTTTCACTTTGGAGGCCCTGGAACTTCTTGGAGGGGTTTACTTTCTTCTTTTCTATAGAGGTGAGTGTGGTGCTTTAGTTTGTTCTCATTGTGTTGTTCTTCAGCCACACCAGATCTAGACAAATCCTTTTCTGGTGGCTTGACAGACATGCTCAGTGCTCAAGTCCCTTCAGAGGGATAGAAGGTGCTAAGAGTTCCTCTTCACAGAAGGGCTAAATGGGACTAGTTTCATACAATTGGACGAGACACACTTTTGACTTCGCTCTCAGAGTTCTGCTTTCTGAAGTCTTCAGTGAATTTGAAAAACCGCTCGAAGGTCGTTGAATTTTCTTTCTTTCTAAAAAATTGCAGTCATGGCAGCCACTCCACTTTTGGGAGGCGCAGAGAAGGGGGAGTGAGCGCAGGGAAGTAACAATCCCACAAGCATTTATCAGAAGTGGCTGAGCCTGGAGGTGCTAAGAGCTTTTAAAAGGGCTGTTGGGCTCCTTGCTTTTCCTCCCCTTAAAGCTGTTGGGGCTATTTTAGGAACCACGCAAAATGCAGTGAAACCTTGTTTTAAAGAAACCCACCATACGTAAGCCTTGGTTTGTACAAAAGGCCTCAAGGGATCGAGGATGGCATGAAAACCAAGGTTTCTTTGGTACACTGACCTTCATGGACAAGAGGGGAAGTACCTGTCAGGGGGACAGAGTTGTAGAAAGAGGGCATATGTGCACCGATGTCTGAAAAGGGATTTCTTCTGAAAGAGCCTCTGCCTCCCCTGCCAGCCCGGATCCATATTGACAACAGGAGGATTAAGACTTGTTGACAATGGGAGGATTACTTCCTACCGAGGTGTGTGACAGGAGCCTATTACTAAGGAACAGACAGTTCCCCTGGGCGGTTTCTCTCCAACATCAAGCCCCCTCACACACATGCCCAGAGCAATTCATGGCATTCCTGATCTAGCTGACCTGAGGGCATATGCAGCTGGGGTTCTGGGCAGAGCCCCACTTTTCCTCAGCGATGGATGTCTTTCGCTTTCCCCCAGAGCTGGGCTACAGTCATGAGCAGCTCTCAGCTGCCTCTCCTCAGTGCTGTTCACAAGAACTGGTTTTAAAGACGGTGATGACAGGTCGTTCGTCCAGGGGGGGAGAGAGAGAGAGCCTTGGAGCTTCTATGGAGGTCACTGCCTGTCAGGCTCAGAGAAGGACGGTGAGGGGCCGACATCAGGGAGAGGGTGAGTCCCACCCTCTGCTGCTGGCTTTCTGAATATGGGAGCTGCCTCCTTGCACCCGGGATCCTGACTGACCGCTGCATCTCCCTGCAGGGCCCTGTGGAGCAGAATAAGCCAGAGTCTCCCAACGTGGATGATGACAGCACCTCAGGGGGTGGGGTAGCCTTTGACAGTCCCCTAATTTGGCCCATTGCCTCCTTTTGCTCCTCCCAAATCAAAGCACCCCTCCATCTACCTCTTTAAGTGAACAAACAGCATCCCTCCGACTGCACCTGAGGTCACTACCCTAATCCCCCTCGGGTCATTTCAGGCCTCCCAAGAATGGGGGTGACAGAGCCCACTTTGGGAAACACTGATTTAGGGAAATGAGTAGGAAGATCACAAGTCAGAATCCTTGGGTGGTTTTTAAAGAGCTTTTTGGGGGCTTTGAGCAGAAGCCTCCTGTTGTGGGGGGTCTCTCCCCATACTCTAGACTCCTGTCCCCCCTCATTACAGCAGCTCAGGAACCCAGCTCTATCAACTGCTATAGGAGATGCGGGTTAGCAGGGACTGTGAACTTCTCCGGGTCATAGACCTCGAGCTGGGGGTTGCTATCCTGCAAAAGGAGGTGCCGTCCAGCCATGGGGAAGGGGTGGCTAGTTATTCAGAGGACTGGGAGGTGGTGTTCCTGCAGGTTCCTTAGTACTCCTATTTCAAAAATGTCTGTGCAATTGTTGACTGATAAAATGGAATAAGGAAGACTTCAACAAGGATCCCCCTGTGCTTTTGCTCAGAGTTTGGCTCAATGTTGGAAGATTGTGTTTTCCAACAAGCGTTTAAAGCCAGCACTGTGAGAAGTCCACAACGAGAAAAGGTCAAGACCCTCTCACCCATGTCACTGTGTGGGAGGGTGTGGATCAGCGTGCGTGCCACGACACAGGTGCTCTCTGACCTGTGGGTATATTCGAGCCGGCTGCCTTGGGAAGCCTGATAATGCTGTCTCCATGCTCCAGCTTCAGTTTTCTTATTGATTAAAAAAAACACCCTTGAACCTCCAAACTAGATTATGTCATGTTAGGCCCACAGCCACAGCAGCAGGCAACTAACTCAGCACCCCATTATAAGGCTCAGAAAAAGACCACTGACCTGTAGGTATGACTAGACTCGTTCTGACCTTGTCCTGGACACAAAAGAGGATATTCTGTTTCGTTCTTCATTCTATAAAAAAATTTCCAGAAAACACTCATTAGTCATGGTCACTCTAGTTTCAGACACAGCTGATCAGCAGGGAGGTAATATGCCCCTTGGATGCCCCCCACCCTTTCCCAGTGCCCTACTGTCTTAAACCTGGTGGGAATATGGCAGGTGTGCTCAGGTGGGGTGGGCACAATGAGAGGTTGGTGACTCTGGGTGTTGCTCCATCTTCTCCGGCACTTGCATATTTTAATAGCCAAAATGACAGAGCACAGTTAACATGAGCACCACACTTTTATGGGCTTCTTAGCTCTTAGTTGACTCGATGCTTCTGAGTGGCGTGCTTTCAGAGGTCTAAGTGTAGGCAGAGGGACAAGCAAGAGCTTCCTGTTTGGGCGCTGAGGTGTTCTCAGTCTTCCTCCCACCCTCCCCTCCGGTCCACACCCTTAGAAAGAAAAAGCAGATGGAACAATGGTGCGGGACTCTTGACAAAGCATCAAGTCCTCAGTCTCCCCTGTATCATTCTTGCATCCCTCACTCCTGCTGATTCAGGGTGTGAAGTTCGGGAAAGAGGGCAGAGGAGAAAGAGGGCGTGAGAAAGCTTGTCTTCAACTGAAGATGCTCTGGACTAATTTCTCCCCCTTGTCCTTGAGAGGCACGATAAAAGGACATGAGAAGATGGGGAAACGCACCACAGTTTTGTCTCCATTTTGAACAGGGGGTGAGAAACTGAGGCCACCAGGCTTATGCGTTTCTGACGGGCAATCTCTGAGATTTTCTATCAATCACAGATTGAGAGGGTTCAGGCAGGTTTTGTAAATGTTTTTAACTTCACTTTGATATTTTGTTTTATTTATTTCAGGGTGCTTTTCATCATTTGAGTGGTTTTATTTTTAAAATTTTTTAAAAAGTTTTTAATTGAATCACCTCGAGATAGAGCATTACAAAGCTGTTTATGATTGCATTTCAGTCACACAATTTTCCAATACCCATCCCTCCACCAGTATAATTTCCTAGCACTAGTGTCCCCAGTTTTCCTCTTATTGCTTCAAGCCACCCCCACCCCTGCCTGCCTCTATGGCAGGCACCTCTCTTCTCTCTCTCCCTCTCATTTTAGGCAGTGTGGTTTGCAAGATAGAAGCTACAAGGTTATCATGTATATTCCTTTACCTACGTTCAACACTCAGTTCTTGTCCAGAGTGATAATTTCCAACTAATAGTTAAGATGGACTCTCCTTTATCTTAACTACCATCCATCCCCCACACCCTGTGGTAATTCCCAGTCATTGACCAGTCCTCCTGGCCCCATTTTACCTAGCCTTGGATATTAGTTTTGTACTTTTTTTTTTTTGTATTTGGTCCACCCAGCAGTGTTCAGAGTTCACTTCTGGCTTTGTGCTCAGGGATCACCTCTAGTGGGGTTCAGGGACCTTAACTCCAATACTCTCTCTCTGACACCTTAAATAAGTTTTATTCCATAGTTAATGCTTTTCATTTTCTTGACTCCTTTGAAGGGCTCAGACCAGTCAAGTGAAAGGTGATGCAGTAGGTGGCTGTTCATAGCACTGAGCTGGGGGTGGCAGGAGTGTGGAGATCAGGTGAGTGGGCTTAGAACAGAGAGCAGAGAAGGAAGGTTCCTTCCCATGATACCAGAGGCAGCCAGAGCCTTTTATAGGCTGAATGACTGAATGACAGGTGGTTTGAAACCAGGAAGTCAGCGTCTCAATGAGTGGGGTGGGGCTCTGCATGGGGAAAACAGCAAATGCTTCTCCCTGCTGGACCCCAAACACAGAATTCTAACCCACTGCTCCTTTTGGGTCTGATTTGGAATTTATGACCACCCTGTCCTCCTCAGGTGGAGGTCACTGTGATGAAAGGTCTGAGGGACTCCCGTGGTGATGGTGGAAGAGTCATGTCAGTGAGACAGACTGCTGATAAATGGTGGACAGAGGCTTCTATATGTCAGGTGGGGACACAAACAAGCACCTCTTCTCCTGGGCTGTCAGAGGGAAGAAAAAGAGATCAGTTGTGGGCTCAAGTCATAGCTTGCTATCACCATTGCTTTCATCCTTGGGACTCGCCAACAGAAGTTCCTGTAACCACAGAAATAAGCTCAATAACTGCACGGGGGTATTCTCAGAGCTCACTGTGTCTTGGTGAAGGAGGTTGCCACCATTTGGAACATTCTTTCCAAATAATGCCTCTGAGATGGGTTCATTATCCTTAAAAAGATGATATGGTCATAGAGGTTCTTAGGTGCATTTTTTTCTAATATGTAAAGATTAGAAAGAGTTTTTCTTGAAGGATAAAACTAGAGGCATCTGGGACCTGAGAGATAATACAACAGGTAGGGCATTTGCTCTATTTGTTTTGTAGGTGGTTGATGCTGCTGGTTTGATCTTCAGCACCCAATATGGTCCTCTGAGTCTGCTAGGAATGATCCCTGAGCACAGAGCCAGAAGTAAGCCCCAAGTACAGCCAGGTGTGGCCCATCCCCACCCCACCCACTCCAATAGAGGCATCTGGTTGATTTGTAGCCAGGGATTGGGGGAAGATACTGTTTAGGCATGGATGGTAAGAGCAAAGGAAAATAACAGAGAAAGGATGCAACAGAATTCCTGTTGGTAGGAAAGTTAGACTGCAATGGACGGTATCCCCATTATTCCAAAGCAGAAGCTTCCGAAATGGTCGGAGTTGGGTAGTTATCTTAGGGAGTCTGGGAAAGATATTTACCATGAATTTACATGGAAAATATTTTGAGCATCCTCAGCCCTCGGACCTAATCAGTCATAGCAGATAGTGAGGAAAGACTGTAGTGAGAAAACCTTTTGATGATTATTTAGGACCTAGACTCACCTTGTCCCTGGAGGGGAAGTGCTCTAGGTTTCAGCCTAGAGGAGAGCTTCCCACCTTTCAAACTGTGATTCCTGGGGCCAAGGATATGGCTCAAGTGGCAGAGCACATGCCTTATGTGAGGCTCCAGACAGTAGGTCAAATGTTTGCTATGGCCCCATAGCAATAAAATAAAAGTCAGGGACAAGTGGGACTGTCCAGTCAAAGCCAACCTCCAGTTCCTGAGCCAGGGTGAAGGAAGGTCACAGGAGTCCTGAGCCATGTGACAAAGCAAGTGGGGCAGGAACCACAGAGCCATGAAAGAGCTCGGTGATGGCTTGTAGGTAGGTTGGCAGCTGCAGCGGGTCTGGTCATCCCCCATCCCCAACTCAACATCAGACCCCCTGGCTTCCTTATCCTACTGGCCATAGGTCAAGTTTGGCTGCAGGGTGAGTCCCTGACCTCAGCCATGCAGGGACCCTCTCTCCCTGATGAAATCAGAGTCCACTGGATACCCCTATGCCCACTCTTGACACTCAGACACCCAGAGCTCTCTCAGGCAGCAGATGTGGACTCATGGATATTTTTCTCAGGATGTTAGCAGGGGGGAGGGTCCTCAGAGGCTGCTCAGGGACAGACACACTGAGCATCCATGGGAAATCCACTCCCTTTGAACATGCCACCCTCACCCTGTCTTCCACATTGTTCAGAGGGAAGGTCAAAATGCTCACGGAACGCAGAACCTGAGTGCAACTTGCAACCAACCAACAGAGCTATTGCTCAGAGCCACTTCCATCAGTCTGAGCTAACTCATGAGATCCAGGGCTCTCTCTATGAGATCCCTGCTAGGCCACTCTCCCAAAGCTCTATTCCCTCCACATTTGTCAGGTTTTACTAAGAAAAAAATGGCAAAACTTGCCATCCTTTGGGATCAAGTTTCCTTTGCAGTTCTCTCCACTCCTGTCCCCCGAGTCCTATGGCCTGGAGATCTGACACGACCTGTTCACCCTAAGGGGCCAGGGATAGAGGCTGAGGCTGGGCTCCTGGATCGTTCTGCTCCCCTAGTTAACATCTGTTTCTTCCTGTGCCGACTGTTCCCAGAGAGATGAAATCTGCTGACAGAGATACTCAGCTCTATTGGGGTGTGTTGCTCAAGATTTTCCTTTGATTTAAAAATGGAAGAATCCTTCTGATCACAAAAGTGTCCCTGAGGAATGAGCATGAGGAAATGCCCCGGCATGGCCTGACCCAGAAGTGTCCTGACTTGCAGAAATGCTTCTCAAATAGGCTTTGTAGGCAGTGCTCAACACTTCCCTGCTGGAGCCGGGGGAAAGCCTCAAATGACTTGGGTGCCTCCTTTGCCTGCTGGAACCCAGAGTTACATCCCTGGCACCTTATGAACCCTGAACACTAATGGGTAAGATCCCCTAAGTCAAAACATTTACCTATTTAAAAAGGAAAAGAGTCACTTCCCCAGCATAGCAGACAGCCAGCTTCCCACTCCCTTCAAGTGCCAGAAGCGCCTGCAAAAGAACAAAAGTAGCCTATGAACTCAGAGACCCTTGGGTGCCACAGAGATGTCTGGTAGCATCTGGGGTGCACCCATGGCAGGAACTTCCCTTTGATTCCTGGGAGCCTGAAAGGAACTAAGGAAAGAACACCTGTGTATAAGGCAATGGAAATTCAGTTTATCCCAGGGATAGCAATGACAAGGAGGCTGATCCTGCGTCTCCAGATGCTCACTAAGTGTGTCCCTGGATTATGGAGGTAAGGGCAGGAAGAGTGGGCTCAGGGGCAGCCTGAGGCAGGGGGTGACTTGGACTAGGTCACTGTCTTCTAGTTCCCAGAGAAGGCCAGGAAGTTGGCAAGTTGCCAGGTCTCCGCTGTCTTCCCAAAGTACCAGACTCAGAAAAAAGGATGAGCTCAAAGATATTCTATTTTACTCCTGCTACAAAGCACCTCCTTAGCCACTGGCTTTTAAAAACGCCTGGAATTGGTAGCAAAATGAACTGCTCTAATTATCTAGGAATTTGATAAACTCGTCTCACATTTATCTGAAAGAATTTAAGTTGCTTCTGAAATGCACATGAGCCTATATATGGATCCTACATGCCAAACAAGCCTCAGTCGGGTTGATGCTGCTCTCAGAAGCCTTGTCAGAGACTAAGTATTGATTCAAAGGAATCAAAGCT